GGAAGGATCACTTGGGAAATGCCTTGAACCAGGAGCGTGTCACGCATGGCAGATGCCACACAAACCTCTGTGCAGTGAATGGAGGGCCCCGTGTATCATTTTAAACCACTGGGATTATACTCCATCTAATTTGTTTAAAATGATGGGGAATAAAACATGTAATCCACTTTATATTTCCATCCAATATGGTCCGAGTTGAAATGTTTCAGTTCTCGGATAAGTACCTCTCTCAAGACACTTATCCAGGAGGTGCTGGATAATCAGGGCAAGGGGATGGGGACAGATGAACAGGCTCCGGGTCTGGGACACAGAGCCAGGTGTGTCCTGCCAGGTTCTCAGGAGTGTCATTGATGGGTAATAGTCTGGGGGAGGACTGCCCTTGCCAACTAGCCCAGCAAGTCTAGACAGATGGCGGGCATTGGATAAATAGCAACCCACGCCAGCCCCAGAGCCTCTCCCCACCTGAGAACGCATAAACATCCTCTCCAGAAGGGGGGGGGGCTCTGCCCTTTGCCCAGGGAACCCCCTGGCGTGACTTCAGGTTGTTGTAGCCCAAGAATCACACCGTTGATTGGACAGGAATCTAGATGGGAACAGAGCTCTCCACCTTCCGAGTCCTCACCCTGTGATGATTTCCTGTGGAATTATGAGCCTCTGTCAAGCGTGTTCCACACACGTGGACCATGTGGGGGGCCCCAGGAGTGCAGTGGATAGCAAGGTCGATACTGTCCATGGCATCAGTGAAATCAGGTGTTTCTCCACTCAGCTGAAGCCCTGAGAACTTAGAATTGCCACCCGGGTCTGCAGTGAGGATACTTCTGCTTTGGCCAGGAAGCAGCCTGGCATGGCACCCAGCAGAGAGCTGGCGCAGGCCAGGGGTGCAGGAGCTCTGAGGCGGCTTCTGCCTACTGAGTGCCTGCTTTCGAGGGTTGCTGGGAGGAGGCTCTCCTGCAGGGCTTTGACCCTCTCAAGGCTCCTATAAGGCAGGTGCTAGTACCATCTTCTTCACCAGAGAGGCGTGCAGTGTTTGAGGGTGAAGCAGCTCACCCAGGCCACACAGGTAGCAAAGTGCAGAAGCCAGGAGCTAACCCCCAGTGATCTGACCACAGCTGTTGGGAAGATGTGTGGTGTGTAGAGGAGGTGTGCGGTGTGTGGGGGAGGTGCGTGGTGTGCAGGGGAGGTGTGTGGTGTCTAGGAGTACCCAGGAAAGGGGGCTCGGAGCCGATTGCCTGTGAAGCCAGCACAATCACTCACCATTTCTATTTCTCATTGCTGAGGATAATTGCAAGGGAGATGAGCTTTGTGAAGCTGGCTCCCCGGTGTTCTCTTCCACAGATCACACCCTCCACACAGGCCCTTCTCATTTCCCTGGGGCTGCCCTGTCCCCAGAGAAGGTCAGGGCCGTGCCAACGTGCCAACACCGTGGAGACAGTACAGGTGCCAGGTGAGATCAGTTTCTGCAAACACAGGAGTGTGAGGAGTTTCTGCACCGGCTGAGGTTCCAAGGCCTGTTTGACTGGTTTCTCCACTCTGAGGAGCCAAAGTGTAGTGGAAGTGCCAGAGTGTGTTTTTGTTCCTGGGATCAGTCTGGTGTGAAAGTTAGAGTTCGCCTCGTCTGAACAGAAGGACAGCCACTCTACACCCTGCATATCTCCTCTCAACACACACACACACATGCACACTTGCACACACATGCAAACTTGTGCTCACATGTACACACAAACCCACACCTACACACTCATGCACACACAAATACACATACACATACACATACACACACAAAAACACATGTGCACACAGCGAATGCACAAGGTAGTCCCATGACTGATGATAATTCTCTCCTTCCTGCCTCTGGTGACTTGTCCAGCCATCTTGGAGAGGTTTTCATCCTTCCTATGGCAAGTTGCAGATGTCTTCAGTCCTCCTCAACGAAGGAGACTTCCTTTCTCCTCCAAGGTGGCAGGGAGAGTTGGCGTCTCCATGAGGGGCTCAGCTGAGAGGCATGGGAGAGGGGAGGAGAGCCCACCTCCAGCACTCAATCACAAAGGCACAGACCCCCTCACTTCCCTCTTCTGTGCTGATCATGACCTTGTCTTTCTCACCTGGTTCCCGGCTCCTTCTCTGCAAACCTCAGCCTGTTCCTCTGCTGCAGTTCTTCCCAGCCTTCTGCACCTCCCTTAGGCCTCTCACACACAGCTCCAGGGGCAGCCACTACATTAGGGCTGGCTGGGGCATCTTCCTTCCTCTCACTGCTCTGCTGGGTTTGCCTCTCACATGGCCCCTGGGTTGGGGGAGCTCAGCTGTGGGACATGGAGCCAGTGGCTGGGCACCCCAGCTTCAGGTGCCTCATGGGGTGGAAGATGGATGATGCCCGTGGCCCCTGCATCACACAGGGATACACACAGAAGGCATTGCCTGGGAATGCACCTTAGCTAGAAAGAAGGCATTTCTCCCTCCTCAAAGCCAGGCTCTGCACCCAGCTGCTGTGCTAAACCAGCCAAGGCAGAGGGGCTTGACCAAGCTTGCCTAGGTTTGACAACAAACGCCATCTCGTCCCTCTTTGGGAGCCGCCATTTGGGCTGTGCCAGGCCATCTGTGGTACGGGTCACTGGTGCATGGCTGTCCTTGGTGTCCCTGGTGCTGACCCCAGACGAGGGGAGTGGAAAACTTCACCCACGGAGTCTGAGCCAAGGCAGCTGATGGCTCGCATACTGTGGCAGGAGGCTGAGGGGAGGATGAAGAAAATGATCTCAGTGCTTGTACATGCCCTGAAAAGAGAATGTGTTAGGGAGGAAGCGACCCCGGATGGGGAAACACCCAGTGGGAAGCTGGGGACTTTCCCTATGGGACACTGTCTCTCCCCATCCAGAAAATGCACATCGCGAGAATAGTGACCATCACCTCGTCTGGTGATGAGACAGCCTGAGGCTTTTTCTGAACAGCTGCTTCTGCTCTGCATGGAACTGCCTCTGTTTGGAGCTGACACTGGAAAGTCAGCTAATGCTCTGAGCCTTGGCATGTTGGACTTAACCAAACCTCGAGGCAGATGCATTTAATTTTTCAGTTCAGTCAAAAGAGGTATAATCACAAAATCGTGAGAGTCCCCTTCAAGTAGATGTTTTTCCCCAGTGTTGGTTGACATCAAACATGAACCAGCTTGTTACTGACCATGAGGTTTATCACAGAATAATAACACCTGCCGCTGGCTCTGTACTTAATACTCTGATCCTACGCGCTCCTATCAGATACGGTTGGTGCATCATCCTAGTTTATAGATGCAGATGTTGAGACACACATTTCCACATCACTGACAAAACTGGAACCGGGAGCTCAAGGCTCCTAATATTGTTTGCAAAGTAGTATTTAATACCCGTGGAAAATGACATGAAATAATTATTAAACATTTGGATTTTAATCACAGGTCCCAACAACAAGATGAGAAGGAAAGGAAATTTCAAATATAGATTTAAATCTTCAGGTATTCTTTAAGGAAATAAAACAAGGAGCTGGGCTGAATCCAGCTATTAAGAGTCCTGCCCTCCCTGGGCCCCTCACCAGGCAGGATGCTTCTCTGTTCTCCTGGCTGGACCCACGTTCTCCATCCCAAACCGGTTATCAATTTCATTGAGAAATTTGTTGCTCAATATTTATTGAGGCCTCTGTATTATTCCACCACTGAGGTGAGCTAGAAAATCTTCAAGATAGCTTTATAAAATGAGTCAGACAACTGGGATACTCCTCCCTGTTGACCATGACCTTCCCTTTTTCACCTGGTCCCCGGAGCTCCCTCTCCGCAAACCTCAGCCTCTCTCTCGGCTGCGGTTCTTCCCAGCACTTCACACCTCCCTCTGGCCCCTTGCGCACAGCTCAGGGAGCAACTGCCACACTAGGGCTGGCTGGGGCATCTTCCCTCCTCTCACTGCTCTGCCTGGTTTGCCCCTTGCGTGGCCCTGGGGGACCGAGCTGTGGGTCATGGAGCGAGTGGTTGAGCACCCCAGGCTCCGGCTTCCCTTGGGGAATGTGTACAGCACCAAGGGGCTGGGAGGTGTTTGTCTGGCTGCACTTTAGGGAAGGAGAGGGTACCTGGTCTATTTGTTGGGTTGAACAGGAGGGAGGTGGAATGTATAAACTTTCTCAGGGGAATAAAGGAGTTTGTGCCTTATGTACGGGCAGGGGTTGGGGAGAAGAATGGGAATCTGTGGAGATCAGAGGGGACTTGCTTGAGAAAGGCATCTTGGGGACTCCAAGGCAAATGTCCCCTCACAACTGTAGGTCACATCAGTGGAAGGACTTGGGGATGGTCCCCCAAAAGCTTAGCTGTTGCTCTAAAAGTTTCTCAAGGCAAGTGGCCCTGGGGGTTTCCTTCCAGAGAACAGATCAGACCGAGGGCCCCAGTAGGTTCCCAGATGGGTTTTTGTGCTTAGGGCTGATGCTTAGTAAAACCACAAGGAAGGCCAAGTTTGATGGCAGCCACCTCTTCTGCATCCTCCTGCCCCTCTGCCTGCACCTTTGGGGTATGCTGGGCACTGAGGCCCCCCGTGTCTCGCTGCAGCAAAACTCCAACTGTAGCTGTTTGACGCCCTGTGGATGGAACGCCTGCCACTCAGCTCCCAGGGTGTCTGCACAGGGAACCTTGGACTTGGGGATGGAACTGAATTGTAGGAATCCCTGAGCTAGAAGGGATTATTCTGGGGAGACAAAAAGTCTTTCCCTCTACTCTGAAATCGCACATCACATGTTCACTTGATAAACAACATCTCAGCAATAGCTATGGCTCTGAAGGCAGCCCTGGTCCCTTGCTTCCTCGAAGTTAAAGGCAGTGAGCCCCATCCTCTGTCTCTAGACCCTGGACTGGGAATCTCATGATGCCCGCAGTTGTGCCCTGGCAGAATCAACGCTACCACCCACTTCCCTTCCACAAGCCCCAGCCTCAGGGCAAGAGCTAGGCAGTAGCGCTGGAGAGAGGGGTACGGAAACAGTAAACACTGGGGCCCGCTGTGCCCCTGAGGGAGCCTCTTCAAGCCACCTCCCTTTCCAGTCTCTGTCTTTGTGAAGTTGGAGAAGCTGTCTTGAACCCCTTGGCTTGGTCAGGATCTCCGAGAATCAGCTGCAGGGGAAACTATCCCCTGGGCAGAATGTTCCTGGAGGGAGGTGGTTGCTATCAAGGCCAGGAGGGGTTGGCAGGCTAGCCATCCCATACCCCCGTACCCCGACCCCAACGCAGTTCCCACCTGGAGCCCGACAGCCCTCCCACTCCCATTCCTGCATTTCCTGTCTGCAGTGGATCTGTCCCTCCCTGGGAGGAGGCTCTCACCCTGGGGCATTCGGAGGGTGGGGAGCCTTCCTCCTCCCTTTGTTCCGATTGCAGAAAAGGAGGGGGTTCCCATGCCAAGTCAGAGCTGCCTGGGACAGACGCTGCCTGGATCCCTGTGGCTGCCTGCGCTCTGGACCAGGAGCTCTGAAAGCAGCAGGTTGAGGGCCGGTGGGCAGCAACTCGGAGGCTCCGCGAGGTGCAGGGGACGCAGGCATGGCCGGTGAGCTGACTCCTGAGCAGGAGGCCGAGTACAAAAGCGCCTTCTCCGCGATTGACAAGAATGGAAGCGGCACCATCAATGCCCAGGAACTGGGCATGGCGCTGCAGGCCATGGGCAAGACTGTCTCGGAGGCCGAGCTAAAGAAGCTCATCTCCCAGTTTGATAGCGACGGCGACGGCGAAATCAGCTTCGAGGAGTTCTTGGCGGCGGTGAAGAAGGTCAGGGCCGGCCGGGAGGACCTGCAGGTCGCCTTCCGCGCCTTCGACCAGGACGGCGATGGCCACATCACCGTGGACGAGCTCAAGCAGGCCATGGCGGGGCTGGGGCAGCCGCTGCCGCAGGAGGAGCTGGATGCCATGATCCGCGAGGCCGACGTGGACCAGGATGGGCGGGTGAACTACGAGGAGTTCGCGAGGATGCTCACCCAGGAGTGAGGCTCCCCGCCTGTGTCCCCCCAGCTGCGCTCTGAGCCTTCAGGGCCGCCGCCTGCTGCTGCTTTTGTGCTGGGACTCTCCGGGGAAACCTGGTCGGTGGATGGGAAACTGCCTCCCCCTGGGAGGAAGGCTTTGCGCTCCAGGGCCTGGATGCGGCGCCCTCGGCCGCCTGGGAGCACCTCTCTGCCTGCAGACCTTGGGCAGAAGGTGGCCTCCTTGGGCCTGGTCCCCCTTTGCCCTGCAGTGGAATGGGGTTCCCCAGCTCGGGCCTGCCCTGAGGGTCCCTCAGCCCCGCATTGATCTAAATAAAGGACTGCCGAGTCCCATGTGTGCCTGGCGTTTGTGGGCCGGCGGACCCCGGGGGCCCCCACCTGCTTCCAGGGTTCCTTCCAGCCCACCCCTCTCCCAGCCACCCCTCTCACCTGCGGTGTGAAAACTGCCTGGAGCAGGCCCCAGGGGCACCTCCTGCCACCCCTGAGGCAAAGTAGAGGGCAGGTGGGCAGAGGATGTGTGAGGATGGTGCTGGGCGGTGTCTCTGGCTCCAGGCTCCGCCTGAGCTGCTGGTGAGAACCTGGGCACGTGTCCTGCACAAACAGGAGCCCGCGCCTCTCTTGGGCTGCAAATAAAATACGTGTATGTCTGTGTGTGCATCTGTGTGTGCGTGTTTGTGTGTCTGTATGTGTGTGTCTGTATGTGTGCATCTGTGTCTTTATATGTTTGTGTGTCTGTGTGTGCTTGTGTGCATCTGCATGTGTATCTGTGTCTGTGTGTGTCTGAGTGTGTCTCTGTGACTATGTCTGCGTGTGTCTGTGGGTGACTTTGTGTATCTGTGTATGTGTCTCTGTGTCTATGTGTCTGCATGTATCTGTGTGTGTCTGTGTGTGTGTGTGTCTGTGTGTTTGTGTCTGTGCATGTGTGTCTGTGCGTCTGTGTGTGGCTCTGTGTGTGTACCTGTGTGTCTGTGTATGTCTGTGTGTTCGTGTGTGCCTGTGTATGTATCTGTGCGTATCAGTGTGTCTACGTGTCTGTATGTCTACGTCTGTGTGTGTGTTTATGTATGTCTTTGTGTGTCTGTGTATCCGTGTGTCTGTGTGTCTATGTGTGTGTGTGTCTGTCTGTATCTGCGTGTCTGTGTGTTTCTATCTGTGGGTCTGCGTGTCTGTGTGTCCACGTGTGTCTTTGTGTGTGTCACGGTGTGTGTCTATGTGTGTGTCTATGAGTCTGTGTCTGTGTGTGCATCTGTCTGTGTGTCCATGAGTCTGTGTCTGTGCATCTGTGTGTGTGTCTGTGTGTGTCTTTGTGTCTGTGTCCATGAGTCTGTGTGTCTGTGTGTGCATCTGTGTGTGTGTCTATGTGTGTGTGTGTGTGTGCGCGCATCTGTGTGGGTTAGGGTTGGGAGAGGTGGGGAAAGGGCAGAGCAAGGGGGAGAAGGAGGGGGCTGAGCAGGCAGGGCCCTCCACCCTGACAGCTCACAGCCCTGTGTGGACTTGGGTTGTGTTGGTGCCTTGAGGTTTAGAAGTGAGACCCAGGCTTACTCATCACAGCGCTGCATTCCCAGGGTTCCCTTTGTCCTGGGTCTCAGACGGTTGGACCCACACGCCTCGCTTTGCAGATATGGAAACTGAAGCCCCAGGTGGGTACCGGAGCAGCCAAGGCCAACTTATGGTGGCATCGGGTGAAATCGGGTTTCGGGGAGGTGGAGGCCCTGGCCTTGGAGTCAGGATTCGTCACCTTCCCGCCTGCCGTGCTCCTGGGCACACCTGCGGGGGGCACACACCTATGGAGGAGCAGTGGTGGGACTGTCCACGTTATCCTGGCTTCAGCGCAAAGCCTGGGGAGCCAGGGGTGGCCCGGGGCACTGAGGCGGGGCCTGGCATTTTCAGGAGTCAACATGCCCTGGGGCACTGAGGCAGGGCCTGGCGTTTTCAGGAGTCAACATGATCTCTTGCGGTCACTCATTGTGACCTATTCCTTCTAGTCCAGTGCTCAGAGCCTGGCCAGCGCCCTCCAGGCCCTTCCACCCTCAGGGCTGAAGCCAGACCTTCCCTCGTCTGCCTGGGCAGGGCGCACCTGGGGCTGGAGAGGGGAGAAGTGGACACCGCAGTCTCCTCCCTCAGGGCTCTGAACAGGAAGGGCTGCAGAGAGGGTCGAAGAGAGAAGATAAGGAGGTGAGAGGGGAGCAGAGCAGAGGCAGCCTCCGACCTGCCCAGTCACCTGACTGAGCAGGAGGCCCTCGGTAAAGTCCAGCCCATCCTGGCTCCGCACGGGGGTCCCCCAGGAAAGCCCCATCCTCTTAGGGACGCGGGTCACAGAGGTCTCGTTTCTGATGTGGTGATTCCTCAGTGCGGAGCTGGTCAGGAAGAGGTTTTCCGGGGTCTGTGTAGAAAAATAAAATAAAATAACAAAAGAAAAATATAGGCTTTGCATTCACTTTTTAAATTCTGAGGATGTGCTCTTTCTGCATTTTCACCACTGAAGTCCTTTCTCTTAGGAAGCTACGGGAATCACAGGCGATTTTCTTTTCTTTCTTTTTTTCTTTTCTTTTTCTTTTTTTATTTTTTTGGGTGTTTTTTTTCCTTTGTGTTCTTACTCTGCAAAATGGAGAGTTTCACCATTACACAAATTTCTTTGGAAATGCTCCTTCTCCGGGAGGGTACCAAAGTCTGAGAACAACAGCTTGAATCTATAGAGGGCAAAATCGATTTTCTTCTCTTTTAAAAAAATACCTGAATTTGGAGACATATGCAGCTCATACATGGGGAAAATAAACTTCTAATTCAGGACTGACACTTGCTCTGGAGCAGGTGGGAGGGGTTTGGGGAAGGCACGAGCGGGGCCTCAGCTGGTTCTGAAGGTTTCATTTCTTTAGCTGATGATGTTGATGGTTAAGTGGGTGTTCTCTGTTAGTCTCTATATTTTTATGTGTCTGAAATGTTTCATACTAAAAATAATATGGGTGCATCATGGAAGGTTAGAAACCACAGACGAACACACGGGAAATGCGGCCCTCCGGCACGAGGCCACGCCTCCAGAGAGCCGCAGCCGCACGAGGCCACGCCTCCAGAGACCCGCAGCCGCACGAGGCCACGCCTCCAGAGACCCGCAGCCGCACGAGGCCACGCCTCCAGAGACCCACAGCCGCACGAGGCCACGCCTCCAGAGACCCGCAGCCACACGAGGCCACGCCTCCAGAGACCCACAGCCGCACGAGGCCACGCCTCCAGAGACCCATAGCCCGAAGCTTTGCTGGATTTTCCCCTGTGGGAAGGCACCGCCCCACTGGCCCCGACTCCACAGTCTGTTGACTCATTCGGGAGGAAAGGGCTTGAGTTCTCCATGGAACCAACAAGGCACCTGACTGTCTCCATTTCTATAGTTGGGGGTTGGGACAGAATCTGGAAGGGCTGAAGAAAAACCAAAACCAAAAAGAAAAAACCAAGGCATTTTTTTTTCTTTCTTTCTTTTTTTTTTTTTCGAGATGAGATCTGACTCTGTCACCCAGGCTGGCGTGCCATGGTGTGATCTCGGCTCATTGCAACCCCCACCTCCCAGGTTCAAGTGATTCTCCTGCCTCAGCCTCTTGAGTAGCTGGGATTACAGGCGTGCACCACCACACCTGGCAATTGTTTTTGCATTTTTAGTAGAGACAGGGTTTTGCATGTTGGATAGGCTGGTCTCGAACTCCTGACTTCAGGTAATCCACTCGCCTCGGCCTCCCAAAGTGCTGGAATTACAGGCATGAGCCACCACACCTGGCCAAAGAAGACATTTTCTACAGTAGCGTTACCAACTCCAGGGTCAGTATATACATCCAGATTTGTCATGATGGTCAGATCTGGGCTCTCATGGCAACAGAGGACCAAGGTCCAACCTTTGAGAAGAAAATGCACTGGAATGGAAGTTCCTGGGATCCAGGAGGGAAGGCGCAGCCCTGGGAAACACGGTCCTATTGCCATCTCTGCAGGCTATGGAGGCATCTGCTGGCTCTTCCATCCCCCTCTCTATCCACTCACTTAGAAAAGGAATCAGCTCCACGCGTAAGGGAGCAGGTGAGAGAAAGCAGCTCAGGTTGATTTGCTGCTAGGGGAGCAGCCAGGAGACCAGGCCTGGAGAGCTGCGGTGTGGACCACATTTCAGTTCCTTTTTCTGGAAGGAATAGGGGAGCTCCTCTGTGGGCTAAGAGCTCAGACAATGGGGTGGGCTCCATCCTGACTGACTGGGATGTAAGGGTCTTGGAATGCTGGGCTTGCAATGTTAGAACCAGAACAGTGGAGGGAACCAGGGCTGAGCTGATCAACCCAGATGGGGATGAGGGAATGGTAGCTGGGGGCTAAAAACCTGGCCAGAAACCCATACACTTTGAGGGAAATGGGAGTCAGGGCCCCAAAAGCCTTGGTCTGATTGACTTCTTTTTTTTTTTTTTTTTTTTTTTGAGATGGAGTCTGGCTCTGTCACCCAAGGCTGGAGTGCAGCTGTGTGATCTTGGCTCACTTCAACCTTGGCCTCCCGGGTTCAAGCGATTCTCCTGCCTCAGCCTCCCAAGTAGCTGGGACTACAGGCGTGCACCATGCTGGCTTATTTTTGCATTTTAGTAAAGACTGGGTTTCTCCATGTTGGCCAGGCTGGTCTTGAACTCCTGACCTCAGGTGATCCACCTCCTAAAGTACTGGGATTACAGGCAGGGCGAGCCACTTGGTTGACTTTTATTGCGGGATATTTTAACGGGGCAAGAAGGAGGGTTGTAGAGGAAAGGGCGACCTTCCCTGCAGAAAAGTCCCAGGAATTGCACAGGATGCCAGACTGAACTTCTTCAGTCTGGTATTAAAGGAGGGCCCGGAGAACTGAAGAAGGATCAGTCTGGTATTAAAGGAGGGCCCGGAGAACTGAAGAAGGATCAGCCTAGTATTGAAGGAAGGCCCAGGGGACTAAAGAAGGATCAGCCTGGTATCCTGTGTAATCCCTGGGGCCTTTTCTGCAGGGAAGGTCTTCCTCTAACCCTAGACCATTTGCACATTCCTCACTGACAATATTTACCTGTCTCTAGGTAAGCAGCAGTTTCTCAAGTTTTCTCCCTCAGACCTAGCCTGGAGCCCCTCAGGGCCTGCAGGGCAGTTCCTAATTCCTATACCTCCAGGGTGTAGCCTGCTGCACACAGAACGTGTTAAATAAACAGGGCCACACCTCCCTCAGTGAATGTTTGCTGGAGGAGGCACCCCCTCGGTCTCCCTGGACTCCCCTGGAGTCTGAGCAAAGGCAAGAAGCCTGAAGATGAGAAGGGGGGGCAGGTGGGAGGTCGCGGAGCTGGGAGAAAGTTCGAGAGGGAGCA